ACTGGTTTCGACAAAACTGAAGTCAGCTTAGGTAGGGTTTTGGGCGGTGCACTTTCGATTCAGGGCACTTGAGTTGAGTGTCATCGGGTCGGTCTGTGTGGATTAGTAAGCGCTATGAAAATTTGGTTACGGGATGTGGGCATTATTTGAACTTTGGTCGTTTTGAGCTTAGTGCCCCGGTTAACTTCTCCACAGTCATTTGTAACCTCGGCTGTTCTGAAACCGCTTTCCACATGCTCGACAGCTTTGCGCTCTCTGTTCTGTTCACACAGACGGTTTCCACTGTTGGTCGCTGTGGCTGTCAAAATCTCGGCATTTTCTAAATCCAGACCGTGTCTTCGTGCGTGTCCCACCATTGTTAGGTCTTTTATTTACGGTCGATAGTCACTTATATTTCTTTGCTCTTTTCTCATCTGTGCTCACCAACGCAGGTGTGAAATTTCCTGATCGTTCATCGTTTACGGGCAGTCGGGAAATCGATGAGGTTGATGTCATAGACCCTATCCCTGACTATCCGCGTGAAAGCGATCCGTCAACTGTGCGAGTGCAGTGGACTGTATGCTTTCGATGTGGGACGCTGCACTCACGTTAGACTTATTTAGATCTCTGCATAACTTAGGATCTGCGGGGTTTGTATAGTACACCAGTCCATCCAATCTATCCCGGTTTGGTCCGGTCACCGATATTAGTTCATTTGACGCAAGATCACATAACTGAATCTCCATTAGGTCGAAGTATGTTTTTTCTTCGAGATTGTTTTGGGAAAACTCCTTGCGAAGAACTAAAATCCATAAGCACTGTTCCAGGGTTGGGCGGACAAATAGTTCAAAACAAATTTCGCGACACGGTGCTTTCTTAGATTTTTCACCGGCTGTATTTTGCACGCTAAGACAAGGTAGTGAGAGAGAACTTAATAGTACATTCAGAGTTAACTCGGCATAGGGGTGAAATTCGTTTCTGCTGTCCCGTTTAATCTCGGAGGTGTCATGTTCAGACTACCAAAATAATTTTGGTGCATATAGAAATCCGACGGCAGGTTCCTTTTCGAAACTCTTCATAGGTACTTCGGCTTCAACCCGGTTCGCCTTCATTTACAGTCGTGTATAATGAGTTGACATCTCACGTCCACAGAATACTATCTGATCCTAGTGGAGACTGATTTTGTCGACAAATACGTGTGGAGTTTTAGTGGTGCTTGATTTTTCTGTAGTTTGGTTTAGAATAACTGCTGATATTCTGGCCATTTGGAAATTTCCAAAAGGTGTTGTTGGCCAGACCCGTCTAAGGACGCTGAGAGATGGACGGCTGGTCTCTTTTAGGGGTTCTAACACAGAACGAACCGTTCTGTGGAGCTGACAGTAATAGTTCCGCCTTGATGGAAAGCTCTGTCCTCACAAAAATAGCGCGAAGCTGCCATATGGTGTCAAGTTCATAGATTCCTAGGGCTAGATGAGCGTAGTAGGCACGTCTCGGTGGTGGGAAGGCCAACGTTCCTAGTGGTGACCTATGGACTGTCTGGATATCACAGTACCCGTTCAAAGGAAGTAGATAAGTGAGAAACCTGTGGCGTCCAATATCGACTTTACAAATACATCTTTGTTAAAGCAATCCGCATAGGTATGGTTGGATTGTTAGGCTACAATCGATATCTTTTGCTTTGTCTCAAACTTGAATAGTTACTGTTTTCGCCATTCTCTTGTTCCGTATCGATGTGATGGTCGTCTATGTGTTGCTCAGCCTTGTCTGGATGATCGCTCTTGACCCACAAGAACTCTCAACATTGCATTCAGCGGTTATCTCTGTCTTATTCCCTGTTGGTTTGAAAACGCGATCAACTTCTTAGCTTATACGCTCGACCTAGTGGAGCCTCTGTATCGAATGTGAAAAGTGGCAAAAAATACGCTCATTGTTTACCAAACTCTTTTCAGTTGGCTACGCAAATTTGCGACAAACCACTTCCACCCTGATTCCGTGATTTAATTCGGTCAGATCAGATATGTTGGTGGCGCAACAATAGATTAGCCTAAGTCTCATGATACGCTCGGGTGTATTTGCATAAGTGCTCTGCGTTTCAACTCGTTCAACCGCACGATAAGTTCCGACTGAGTTGGCGACTCAGATTGGAGTGTCTCCCGGTAAAACTATAATCAACACTTTCATAAGATTGCTGAAGCGGAATGGCACAATCACGCTGTTCTGTCGATTTTTTACTAGCTTTGCGTGATCCTGTGATTAGATTATGATAATGTTTCACCTTTTTGTGTGTGGTACCTTTGCGTGAACACCCAGTTCAAACCATTCCTGTTCTCCATAGATGACTCAAAGATATGACCTTCGGGCGATTTCAGTTACTCGCGCTTAAACAGTCCCAAAGCAGAGAAGCACTTTACCCGGCTACTTGGCTGGGAGTTCCTGGCGGATAGATCAGTCGGTTTATGCAATCGGGGCGTTCACTGAATAATTCGGCGACTGCCAACTCGACTCGATTTGTCGAGCTCACCAATCGCTTTGTTTATTTGTGATAACTCAAGTGTACTCAGATGTGGAGTAGTTGTATCGCGCTCGCTTCCAATCCCGGTACAATCAAGTATATGCACTGCTGATGGACACCTACAGGAGTGGAACTTGAGCCCAGTGCTTCTTCGCTTCGTTGTGCACCAACTAGAACAATTACACCGTAACAGGTGGAAGACAGTTCGAACTAGAAGTTCTACTGGTCTCGCAACTAACTACAATTGGTCGTACCCACTCAAAATGATGGGTTGTCCTATAACCATTTCATCAGACTGAGTCAGCGAACGAAAGACTTTCAACAACCGAGTTAATGATCGCTTCGTATACCTTCAACGTGAATATCGACCACTTTCCATGCCTCATAATCTGTTCCCTGCGAGCGGATGCCTCCAGTCGAAATCAAGTTGCATTTTAGTCTGGAAGTCAAAATAAAGTTGAACCAAGACTGTTTGAAGTCGATAACCGTAATGTTGTACAGTGTGTTGGCAGAAAAACAGTTGAAACAAAAGGTTCGATGTTGAATGACCTTGCACACATGGTCTCAGCACACATTGGATCAGTGTTGCTTGATGGGCTTGAAAATCTGCACTTTGTTCTCCACTTAGACAAAATTCCAACTCTCCCTCCACCTTTACACTTTTTTATGGTATGAAAACGTTTGATGGTGTTTGAATAACATTGTTTGACTCAGTCTTACTCGGGTCCAAGTCTATTTATATCTGTAATAATGGAACTGAACAAAGTGGCGCTCCGCTGACCGTACTCCGGTTCGCCGCCGTCAATGCTACACTGACGTCAATAAGATCCTTTTTATTGCGTAATAAACGTTCTATAGAGAAGATACAGTTACCTGTCCGAATAAAACGCGCAACGACCAGTATAACGGGGAGACGGCGTGCTTTCACAGGGACTTGTAACAACAAATATCGAACAGTTGATGAAAGTCAAGCTAGTGGTTACCAATGGATGTAGGGTATTAGAGTGGTATACAGAGGTGTGTATAGTCTGGGAGGGGAGAACGGAGAGGCCGAAACGTTGGTCAAGAAACAAATCGTGATGATGTCTGGCGTGTGGACTACAGAAAGGTGACAAATTCGAAAAGAAACCTTGACATGTTAGGGTTGATAAAATAAGGAAATTTGTGGTACATCCTAGCGATGAGAATGAAGTTGGAGACTATCAGTGAGAGACAGGACGTTGTCCAAAACTGAGAGGTAGCCGAAATAGTCCTGGGTACAGATTCGGGTAGACTGAACCTTGATTTACAGCGAACAAGAGTGAGTGTGGTTGGGAAAGGAAACTCGCTTTGGTTGCTTAGGCAATTGCTGGTAGGACGTGAATGGGTCAAAAGAAGTCGGGTAGTGAGAAAATGGCGTAGGCGATACGGTCTAAACTAAACAAGACTGTCAACGTGTGGGGAAAATATGGGTTAATCTACAGGGGTTAGACAGTATAAGGTGTGAAAAACTACAGTCTTGGTTGCTGGCCAAGCCAGCGTTTGTGTCATGATCTCTACGTGATCATTTGGGAGATGATTGGAGGGCTGGGAACCATCTTTGTTGACCAATCCTATAATTATATTTGTATATCTTTTGAGCCTTCGCCCGGCGAAATGCATAGCGTTACTCTGCTGCTGGAGTTATGTAATTGTCCATCAGACTCCCTGTCGTGTTGATCTAAGCCGCAGTAAGGGAAATGCCGAGGCTGATATTTGTTTTGATCGCGTGAAATTGCCGAGGAAACGTTCTTTCTTTAGTTGTGAGTGGTTGCTTAATACGTATGCTGACGTGACTCAATGTGTACGATGTAGGGTTGACCACTTCCAATCAGAACAATTGTGTCAGAATAGAAGAAGAATTGGAATTTTAAAACAAAAACAATCATGAGAAAAATGGTCACAAATTCCCCGTATCTCTCAAAGAGTAGCTCATGTTGTTCGAGATGTTTCACAAACCTATGGAGTGCTTCTTTCGTGATATTGGCATATTTCTATAAGTAACATCGGTCGACAATCAGAACAATCAGTTTTATTATTCTCAACTAAATAAACCATCTCACGGATTCAAAGGTTGAGCAATACACACAACGGCAGCACACGGCAACACCGAATTTTTGTCACTTCATCTATATTTCGACAGCTGCTTATCGGGGTGAACAGCGTATGGTGCTCCGTCTCATTTATCCTTTGCTCCCCTCAGTCTTCGATTGTCTCCGCGCCTTCATACGTTCCATCTTCCTAGTCGCTTTTGTTCAGCCTTTTGCAAACCCTTTGTTTAACTGGACAAGCTGGGTTGATGTTGTGCCGTGTTCTCTGGTTTATTCATGCTTCCCTGTTGATAATCGAGGTTGTGGCATCTTTTTTCACTGATTTTGTGATTCAAAGTTACATATCGATGACCAGGTCGTCACGCATCGCGCCCGTTTTCCCCTATTTCAGTTAGTCCATCGGTCTAATTCAATGACCCATTTCGCTTCGTTTGTTTTAGACTCCTCAGACGGATTCACCCGCTAATTGTGCATCAGCTACACCACAGCAAACTGTGCATCCACCCCCCACGGTGAGTGAACTCTAGGTAATAGCTCAGTGATGTTTCCGCTTCCAACTCACTTGTATCTGTCTTAGCGTACTTTGGAAACGGGTGCTAGTCGGTGACCCGTAGTTGTCCAGAAATCGTTCCATTCTTCAACTGAGCAAACTATGAGTTCTGACAACAAGTCCGTCAGTTGTTGTTCAACCGAAATATGTTGCAGGTTATTAAATGCGCTTATACTTGGCTACCCAATGAAGTAGTTTGCTAACTCTGTCGATGTGCACGAGTAATCAGGAATTGCTTTTTGAGTTATATTTTGCCTGTCTAACTTGATCACAGTTTACCTGTCAACGGGGTGCTAGTCGGTTATTGGGTTGAGCTTTCCTTCGCACTCCTGACAGTGGTACCTCAAGCTTTTACTCGCTTGCATCATCTGTTGTTATCTATCAAGTCAATTCAACTCGCGTTTAGATCCTCAAGCTTGTCCGATTTGCCGTCAAAAATAAGTTTTTCACCCTTGGTCTGTTAGCTGGCTTGCGCCGGTTCATTATAGTACTCATCAACCTTCAGAACCCTTGTGGAGGTCTGCAGCGCGCTGATCTATTGCTTGTTTAAAAGTGATGTATGTCGTGTATCTTGTTCTTGAACAAGATTCTCGGATTGGGTGTTGGAGGTGTAGGCACCTCAGCTATTTGCGTTAGGCTAACTCCAGGCCCTCCTCCCTCTCCCCATTTCTTTATCCTTTCCAGTCTGAGGCTTTATTCAAATAAATTGACATTGTGGTTCAGCAGTGAAGCGCCAGTGTTCACATCTGGTGTTGCCGTCAATGATGAAATGATCATGTATATTGTTCGACCACTTAGTGAAGGTACTCTGCAATCTTGTCACTCCAGATAGCATGTGCTTTCAAATCATGGATTGTGGAGTAAATCGTGTACTTCAATCGGCGAATACATTCCGTGTTACTGTGCGTCTCGGTGTTACACCTCTTCATCGAGCTCTCTTTTCGAAACTTATCGTAGCTGGACCTCCAGTCGATGCTCTGTAAAGCCAGATGAAGCCGTCTGGTTTGTTAAACGTGAAAGTCATGTTCGTTTCTACTCCGACTACGCGTATCAACTGGGATCAGATATCTGGATACCCGAGCTAGCTCTGAGTCGACAAACGTTGATGCCTTGATTAAATCTCCGTCGTTTCAAACGTTCCTTTTCCAATATCCACAATTCGTAGGCATTAAACATTCGCTCATTAAACATTAGTAACCGTCTATTTAACTTCAATGATGGTTAAACAGCTAGTATGCACGGACGTCGGCTTCTTTCACTAGATGAGCTCGCCAGCGTCCGAACAGTTAGGCGGAAAACGAGGTGATCCGGATTCCGCTATGATTAATGCAGTTGGCTATGTTGCGCTGTACACCGCCAGGATTCGATGTCTTGCTATCCTATTCTTCTAGTTGGAAGGGTGCAGTTAGGATGTACGATGGGAAAACGCACTGTACTGTGCATTGAAACGACTGAATTGACGGTTGGGTGTTGATGTACCCCGTGGACGGTAATCTGAAAGTACACATCAAACTTGATAAAGTCAGTTTTCAGTGAAGCGCACATCCAGGCCTCGGTTCAAATTCTTGTGGATCGGGCGTCCTTTCTTCGTTTGTATCCATGTGGTCTTTTATCAACAATACATATTCGCCTTAAAAAGAGAAATACTATGATCTCATAGGCTCTTGGGGACTGAATACTGACTATATATATATATATATATATATATATATATATATATATATGAGAGAACATATGTTTAATATATATATGAGAGAGAGAACATAAGTTTATTTTTCGAACGCATGAATTGTTTGCAAACTAATGTCGAAACATTGAAGGACGGCGAGTTCCAGTCAAGTTTACCGGGGTTCCTTTTGGATTAACCCTTACGAATGTCTCTTTAGAAGTCAATATAATTTTGGAACAAGTTTTTGATGAACGAAAGCTCACATATTACCCCCTTTGTTTTTGTCTTTCAGGATCCGTCAGCTAATATATCTGCCTTGTTTCTTCACCAGCGGTTTGTTTAATATTTGCGCCATTGTGCATCTTCCACCCTTTCATTCCATTTCATCAAAGAGTCTTTTCGGGCCATCCCGTGTGCTTTCATCCATGATTGTGATTACTCAAACAGATTCAGTTTACTCATTCGTTGTTTACTTTAACCTTCTCTCTTTATGTACCCCGTTTTGTGCGTACGGTCAGCCTTTGCACAATCAACTTCTATCAACTGTACTACCGTTCATTCTCAATGCCAGAGTTCACCCCTGTTTTTGCAGCTGTCTAACCAAGCTGCCAATTACGTGGTCCTACTGTATCCGGTAACGCTGTGTTGGCTTTCGCTCGCTGCACTTGGCGACATTCAGCTGTCGTGTGTTCATGGATGGATATTCTCATGTCATGTGAACGCGGTTTGTGCGGACTTGAGAAGACCAAGTGTTGAACATCTCTTGTGATCTACCCTCTGGGTTGGCGTTTGTTCCGTTTGTTCTTATGTTACACCTTGGCTTTCGTAAACCAACGGATTCTGTACCATCCCGCTGTAATCCGTGCTAAGTTCCATCGCTTTTTGCTTGACCTCAATAAGCATTTGCAGTCGTATTCTGTTGTATGACTTGGTCCTGTTTTCCAGCCTTCGCTCGCATTCATGTTCTTGCTGGTCAGCTCTAGTCCGAGTTTGCACAGGTGAACTGTTATGTTTACTTTTCGTCTGGAGTTTTTGTTGCTGCGGGTTTTAGTTTCGCTGAGATGCAACTCACTGAAAGGGCCTCGATCAGTGGGGTTGCATTGAAGAACAATGTTTGACGCAGTCTGTCAAAATGGAAGCGAGGTAGTTGGCTGTGGAATACCGTAACGTTATCAAGAACAGGATCATGAACGTGAACTTTTTCGTCGGCCGATTTTCGGATCAGCGGATGCATTTACGCTGATGATCAAGTTACTAAAAAGTTGGTGTGGCATGGTGAGCTAACTCGTGGATGAATAAAATCCCATTCAGGTGGGTGAAGAGAAGTCTAAAGCAATGTTTCTTAACCGCTGCACCTCGTATTCCTTAAAACATTTGTCAGCGGGTGATTCTCTTCTTCCCTGAACCGAAGTGGGACATTCTAGCTGCGGTTGTTCTTTTAGGAGTTCCGGACCGAAATCGGCTTGGACCCTAATTAATGGTAATGAATGTGTAATATGTTTGCCGTGGACAGTCGAAACGTTCCATCCCACCACAGTATTACACTGCACCCTGACAAACAGTTGTCCTCTCTCTGGAGAAGCTGCATAAATAGACCGACCTACCATGTATTGCTGGTGGAAAACCAACAAGAAGGTTGTATGGTGTTCTTCCTGAACGGTTTTCAGACCTAAGAGTTCGAGACTTCACTTCGGCGCAGATGGCCATGGTTCTCCTTTGATGTGAAGTGCATCATTTAGCATCGTTGTAGTAGTTGTCAGTTCGTCTAGCTGACCTCATTTTCCATTCTGTTCCTGATAGACAGTCACCCGCGTGGGCCAAACCTTTACGTAAGCAACCACTCAGGCCGTATTCTCAAAGTTCAGCTCGCCTTATGTACCCCTATAGATTCACTAGTCCATATAGTGCATTTGATACAACTTAGTTGTTTCCCGCTTTTTGTAGAACCCGCATTCATTCATATGTTCAGTAGTCGTACACAAATTCTACTTAACTGTGCCTACGAAAACAATTTACAAGTTTGGTTGGACGTCGTAGAATTCTGATGAATTTTCTCGAACAAGGGGCTTCCTCCGAATCAGCTGTAGTAGTACGGTTCAAAATGAACACGCTCCACTAGTAAGTGGAAAGTTTAGTTAATCGGGTGTTCATGTTTTCAACCTACCTACGCAGCAGTTAGTAAACTAGGACTTTGCGGTTGTGGCCATTAGCTGAGCTGGACAAGTTAAAAACAGTGGTTTCCTCACGAAAGCGGTCGACGTCATCCATACAACCTGAGTGGAATGCGTTCTCGCCAATAGCAATTTAATGGTTATCTTTCACCGTAACCTGAAAGTTGAGCGTGCCTCTAACGCCTGACGACTGCTTGCGTCGAACCATTTTATTGAATCCGGAACCGCAAGTGTTTTGGCCAGTGTTGAAACAAGCATTTTTCTATCGGTAGAGCAGACCACTGTGTTTCACACACCTGCATTTTCTAACATATTTTACTTCAAGTAGAACATAAGGTTGACGGAAACTCGGGGACTGCGCCTACCTGATGAGCTCCAGGAAGGGTGAAACCGATCGCGGGCTGTCGAGGAGTTTTCAGCAACCTTATGATTAGTGCATTAGAAAAATATATATGTATCGCGATATCTCGAATATCGTAGTGACTGAAACATGAGGCGCCCTGGTGCAGCACATTCAGTTGCCTGGAAACATCAAAACCAGGAGATTCAACTGGATTCCAGGTGAGTTTCTCGCAAAGCCAAATTTGTTTGCAAATAAGTGTATTTCGCTATTTGACTTCGCTTCTGAATGATTGTCCTGAAATGTGTTCGGCTTGAAAAATTTAGTGCTGAGGACTAAGTAGCGACATGATTTTTGTTGCTGGACTTGAAGGATGTTGCTTGTGTAACGCGAGTTCACTCGAGCGGCCACCGGAATTGAACGACCAGTCAGACAAAGTGTCAGAGGTCTTGATGGACATGTTTACAAAAATGGAGGAGATTCTAGGTGATCAGCTAGAATCCGTACGGTGTTAGAGGGGAGATAACGCAGTTGTGCTTTATCAAAATCATCTCAAAAGTTATGGGTCTAACTGAATGGTGGATTTACTGTCGGAACCACCGCCAACGTCTTGAAGTTGGGAGACATCCAATTCTACGACTTTCTCGGACTATAAAAACCAAGACTTTTCTCAGGCCAATCCTATTGAGCACAAACTCCTCTCAACACATACCACCGAAGTGGATCGTGGTAGTTGTGAGATCGATTCTGAACCAAAGCCGATTAGTAGCCGCCTAGAAATGTTTCTAACACACCTGTGGTTGTAATTTTGAAGGTGCTTCAGGCTATCGGGCAATTTGGGTTAGAGGTTGACGAAAGCTCGGGGACTGTGCCTACCTGATGGGTTCCGAGAAGAGCGAAACGGGTCGTGGGCTATCTTAGGATTTCCAACAATTTTATGAGTAGTGTTCCACGTCCATACATGTATCACGATATCTCAACGGAAACATGAAGCAACCGGGTGCAAGCACATTCAACTGGGTTCCAGGTGAGTCCCCCGTCAAGAACCAAATGGGTATGCAAATGAGGGTATTTCGCTAAATGACAGGCCTGTTTTCAGTGTAACCTTATTCATTTCGTGGTCCAATAATGAGGTCAGAATAGACCTTTTAACTTGTCTAAGTGGCTCTGCCCAACAGGGAGAAGGCATCATTTTTAGCTGAAATAGGGCGAGAATTACTCACGTCTCACGGACTGGTACAAAACATTGTGATTTAGGGGAATTGTCTGTTCGTATATCTCTTTCAGTAGATGAAATTCACCATGTAGAAACTTTCGGTAATATCAACACAAGATTATAATAGAGAAAATCGATTCAGGAAAACGAATGAAAACAGTGCTTTGGTTACACTAGCAACAGTTCTGGTTTTTTGTGACCATTATAGTCCATCTGATTTAAGGTCACAAAAGTGTCCAAGGGCAGAAAATTATTCATCGGTCGCGTCTGGGGAATTTAGACACATTTAAGCACCATACAGTCGTTAAGATACCACATGACATCAGCAATTTTTTGCAGAGAAAGGTCATTGAAGTGTTTGGGTCGGATAACGAGAGTCCTGGCAACTGAGTGGTGTTGGTGTTTGTGATTCATGCAGCTGCTGGTACCACATAACCTGCTTTGGTAGTTTGAAGTTACGACCAATTCATGTGGAATTTTCTTGTCAACAGACTAAGCTAACAAACCTTGTTCTTGTATTCCATTTTTAGAGACTTTTGGTATTCTTTGTGCGCTCATGTGTCATGTTTTGCTGTTCCGCGTGGCGCTGACTGCTTCACGCTATACAAATAATTGACCCTGCGCAGACAAAGGAATGCAAGAGAGTGAGTTTCCGCAATAACCAACTCTATCTCACTGCTGTATAGTGGTGGTGACGATCATTGTTCACGGGTGAGCGGGACTCTGGCACCTTAATCGTATTCGCTATATCAGCCGGCCTACCTACTTCCATTTCACAGTTATCCGAATGTGATATGTTGTTCAACTTAGGACGTTTTGTTCATACCAGGTTTACTTGCATTCTTTCACAGGTTTTCGTTCAGGACACTCATTCATAAGTGTCCAGCGTTGCGTGAAGACCAAGTAGTTCATCTTAGCGGAACGGTTACCACCAATCAATCCTGTGCTATGGAGTATGATGCCTATTCAAGTGGCAGCGGACAAAAGGAAGGTTCTGCTCTTTGCGCAGTTGGTCTTCAGCTTGGAAACGAAGCGATGCACACGGAATATCATGTTCATTGAGTGTTTTACGATATTCTCGAATTATACCACACTGTCGAAACAGCTACTACGTCAGACGTTGAGGGCAACTTGGTAGAAACTCGTCATCGCGCAATGTTTTTATCGAGTTGGTTCTTCCAACATGTTTGGGAGATGTGTCCTGAAGGTGTGTATCAGCATTCGGCTAGTCCGCATGAGTGTAAAGAAAGTCTAATGTAATGATCAGTTAAGGTTACAAAGGCGAAAACACGATACTTCGACCAAACCAGCAAGAAACAAAACGCCAGGTGGGGAGAAAACATTGATTTATAGACTTTAGTCCTGCAATTTTCTCCCGAAGACGGGCTGTGCGGTGTGACTTATTTGCACTGATTCGACGGGAATTCTGGAATCCTGTGCGTCTGAAGGAAATTCTATTGTTGGCGGAGAACGGTTTGTCATATAAGTTCACCTCAATTTTAACACATGCGGACGTAGGTTGAACCATATTCATTATTATTGGTGTGTTGAAATTTGTACGAGTGCACTGGAACTAGAAGGAAATTCACCAATATTTAGGTTATACAGCTAGTTTATGTGATGACTCTGAGGTAGCAGCAATCTAACTTCAATGTGTTAAATAGGTAACGGAATTATATGTACACTACTAATAAGATCACGGGTAGTATGTTAGGTTTTTCCCACAATAAGATGAGCGTAGCCGATCAGTCAAGTAAAAGAAGCACAAATGGAATCATTTTCGCTGCTAGGGAGAATATTGAGAGCTTAATTGGTCTCAGTGGTCGTTGGTGTGTTTGTTGGGGTGAGCAGCTTGATTGCGCACGGTTCATCTCCAATAGGGGTGACTCCAGTGCGTTGTTAGGGAACAGGGTGGAGCGTAGCGGTTGAGTGATGCCGCATGTGTTCATATACGCGATGCTAATCGAGGCTAAACTTCATTCTTGATTGACTGTTCGGTCAGGTGGTCCTACTGGCTAGTATGTTATCTTGTGCCCTGATTGGTTAGTATCCACATCACCCGCAAGCTTGCTCTCGGTGCTCGATCGACTTCTCTCCTGACCTTTCTGGGTTCCGCTTTATGCACTTTATGAAGAAAAGATGCCTGTTTCCTGGTTTGTTGATCCGACAGTTGGCTCTCGTTGGCTGTTCTGGTTGAGGTGTTGGCACTTCGCACATGACAAATCGGTTGGCTTCAATCAGTTTGCCCAGCTCAGCGAACAAGGCAACGATCACTGGAAGTAGCTTGGTTAGTAGAGTGAGTGATTTCCCCATAATGGGTGAGCAGTTATCATTAGGTGAGACGTATTTGTAACTCAGTAGACATTTTCGAATTCAGCGAAACGAGATCCGGCTTTGGCGTGACCCTGAGGTAGTGTGTGCAGTGGGTAAACTAAGTTCAATAACCACACGGACATCGGTAGTTAAAGCTGTCCGCTACTGGGTACCGAAATCTATCCGAGTTAACACCATATTGACGTAGCGTCAGCGGGTTCCAATGAGCGAAATTCAGTATAAACGTGGATGGTGAAAAAGTTCAAGTTCATTGGATGACTCTACATTCTTGAAACTGTTTGAAACCGATTGACAGCTCCTCATTTCAGCGATATCTGGTAGATGATTGGTGGACATATTGAGCAATATTTCACTTTCGGCACAAACCCCTGGTCAGTCTAAATTAATAAGCTATCTGCTTCACCTTTCTTGAAGGCAGACGATGCAGGGTCTTTCAAATAAACGGATAAATCGGTGCTGAATGTTAGAATTTCTTTTTCGCTGCATAGTCCGTGTGTACAATACCACGACGAATGGGTTAGGGGAAAACAAAGTCGAATCGGGTTGTGGGGGCCTTGCTTTTTTGGGTTTAGAGCACGTTACGGAATATTCCCCATGGGTGTCGTCCACAAAGTTTGTTGATCTATGTGCTACGGTGTGCTAGGACAAGTACGTCAGACCCACGCCATTTCACTGCTAACCGTTGATACGTGTCACTTTGACTGATCTGAAAGCGCTTTGCATATGCTTGCCTGTTGTACGCGATGCTCGTGTCATGAATAAACTGCGCAGTATTATGTTGTGGTATTTGGTGTAATAAGTTTGTAAAAGTATTTGTAGTTCACAAAACTTGCTCATAGTCAAACCTAGGACTTTTGAAACTTGGGTGAGTCCACGACAATGAGCAATGTATGAGAGAATTTGCTTGAGGAAAACGCTAAATGGCACCTTTATTGCAATACGAAAGTGACGCATTATATGTTGTGCCAAACGAAACATCACTCATTACTTTTACAATGGAAATCACACTGTCACACACGGTACAAGTCAAGTAGGAACCGCTACCGAAGAATTCTAGAAGTATTAAGTGGAAGATTAACGTCAGTCCTAGTCTTCCGTCAGTGGAAATCGATGCCCACCAAACACTTTTATGACAGCCGTTCAGAATAAGTAGCTAACGCGGCAAATAATTTTGTCAGTTTGTGAGAAACGTGATATCAGTAGACAAATTCCCGGAACTTGCTGTAACATTCTATCCTCTCAGAGGTAGGCAAATGAAATGAGTCGTCTGATTGGCGCCGTTACGTAAACAGCGGACATAACCGTGCTGGCTGAAGTGGACTTCCAAGTCGAGGATTGATCGGAAATCTGTGCATGCTTAGCAGTACGACTGGCATAAACATGGACTGACGAATTCAATTATCTGATGCCACCAAATATCTCTGACGTCACCGTTCGTCAAATAGTTGTCGAAACTTGGTCGGACATATAACCGAGTGTTAAGATTCTGGAGTTCAAACATCAACCGACCCACCTTCAGTTCCAGGATGTCCAGTAGAGGGTTTTGATTTAACCACCTCAAAGCTTCGTCGCCTAAAAGTTGGTGGTTTTGCATTGGATGAAGCCCGATTATTCTAAAAGAATTTCTCAGCGTGTGTCTTGTACTGCGTTTGGTAAGATATTCGAATTCGCATTCCTTCCTTTGGATGGTGGGTAACTTTTTCCCGATTAAAATTGATGAGGGAGGCACTGAATTCCAGAGTTTTCAGTACCACCTAAAAGTTTTCTTCACTCGCTTGCTGCAGTCCATGACTTCATTTGCGTTTCGATGCAGAGGACTGCTCATTTTCTGCACGAACAGTGAAGCTTAACTGACCGTGTGTCTATCAGCCGGGAAAGGGGCAATAGGAGGTTACAACTCGGCCAAATCCCGCGTTTGACTCTCGTTTACGATATTTCTCAACAGAAGGCTCTTCATGAACTCCGACAACACGGGTTCAAATAGTAAATAAGTTAGCCAGAAACTCGAGAACTGTACCCATCTGATGATCCCTAAGAATGACGAAACCACTCGCGGGTTGTCGAGAAGTTCTCATCGAAATTATGTGTTATGCTCCGTAATGAATGCTCGGGAAATCGGTAAGCAACGCCGGTCATTTTTATCAGGGTAATCAATAAAAGTTGAGTGTCGGTGGAAATTCATTGCTGATGGCTTAGTGTGAAACTAGTAAAAGTCGAAGTCAACGTTTTTTGGAGAAGAACAGTGTTGAAAGGTTGTGGCAATAAAGCTTTTCCCTCCGTAGTGTAGTAGTGCCAAATTACAGTCAGTTTTGTAAATGCGACCTTAACTTTGGCACCGGTTCTCCTTAATACATCTTTGACAAGGCGCCTGAAATGATATAGGTACTTCCAGTCACTCTGTTCACTCAAAGAATCCAACGGGGATGCTGTAGAAAACACTGCCTTGTCAAATGACTCATCTTCTGTCTACAACTTGCTCAGAACTTTCACGGTGTGAGATGCGAAACTTTGGTGTATTCGAGTGGACTGTGTATTGCGAGAAAAATGAATAATAATAGAAAAACAACCACCACCAAATGTCATGTAGATTTTTGATTGCACTTGAACGAAGTTTCGAGGTAATTCCATTCGGTGATTCAATTCCAGTATTTTTCTACCGCTCGCTAAATAAATGGCCTTCAGTTTGGATTAGTCTATACGACCAATCTCTGGTTCTGCAACCTAAATGTTTTCTCCGAAACTATGGTGTATTTATTGATGTCAAGCCTTCAAGTTCGAATTGGAAAAGTGCTTTCAAGGACTGGATTAAACTTGCTTCAGCATACAGGAAGTTGAAAGTAAACAAAGGAAGTGTTCGAAGAGGCATAGTGAAAAACCTTCCAATGTCTGCATCAGATTCCTGTTCGCAAACTGCACAGCACGGCTTGTTATATGAATGACTGCCTTCACAGACCTGCGAACACGTTTTTCGACAACCTAGACAAGAGTTTTGATGTCCTCTCAATGCCGTTAGAAAAATCACAGAGTCAAGCAAAGATCATCTTTTCATGTCACTACAATAACTCATCTTAATACAAAACGGTAGCGTGTACCAGAAGATATATATATATATATATATATATATCACAGGACCGAAAAA